GCATATCTCCAATATAGTTGAATTTATCCCCAATAATAAATCACAATTAAAACGTTAATATTTTATAAATTTCATTTCTCTTGCCAATATTTTTCAAAACAATAAATTCTTTTTTTTATATATATAAAGAACAATACATTCTTAATTTTTTATATATAAGTTATTAACCAAATCAACCCTTCAAAGAAACTGATTATAAAAAAAGACTCCCTAACGTATGTTTCTAGGGGAGTTATTGGTAGGTGTACTCTTTAAACAATACAGTATTAAAATATGTAAAACCATACAGAAAGATTCTTTCCTTCTCGTAAAAGAAAGAAACAAAAACATAAAAAAAGCCATTCATCGACTTTTTATTACAAAACTCCACTAAACTGCATCCTCTTCTCTTCTTCTCGTCTCTGAGTCCAAAAAAAAATGGAAGACTTCAGATCCAGATCGTACGGTGGTGGTGATGGAAGAACATCAGACATTCAACAATACTCCACACACCAAAGATCCAACGGTCCAGATTCATTCAGTGGTAATGGTATGCAAGATTTCAGGTCATACAGTACTTCCTACACAGATTACCCGACCCGAATACCCGAAGACCCGGATCCGAAGAAAGGAAGATCGTCTTCTTCGTCGTCTTCATGGGGATTTGTGGATCCAGATTTACAGAGGAAGAAGAGAGTTGTGAGTTACAGAGCTTATACTGTTGAAGGTAAGCTTAAAGGTTCTTTGAGGAAAAGCTTCAAATGGATCAAAGATAGATGCAACAAATTACTTAATTAGCTTTTAAAATATTTTGCTTATAAGATATACCAATAAACTTTTTGAGGTTTGTTTGATTTTGATTTAGTTTCAATCTTTTTTTTTTTACATTATTTATCTCTGTGTGTGTTTTTCAATTTTCTTAGCTTGTTTTAGTGATTGTGTAACGAAAATAATTAAAGATAGTCGAGAAATTCTTATAGATTGAAAATGAGATGAGTGCCAGTGATTAATATTATACGATTTTTGACGTGTTCTAAATTAATTTTGTGGCAAGTTACAATTTGTTAAATTTTTTTTCATTTGTCAACGCAAGTTACAATGTTAATTATACGTTTTTTGGTTTGTACATTTTCAAACGGTGATTACTCATTTCTTTATCATCAAAAACATCCATAAATTATTATAACGTTAGTATCATCAATTTGAGTATTAGTTTCGGTACAGTATCATATTGTGCTTGTTTAAAAATAAAACTTGTTTGTATGTTATATGAGTATCATCTTAAGATGATATGTATAAACGATTTTTGATTTACTTAGTGGCATGTTAAAAATTACGGCATGAATTTTTTTTTTTTTTTAATAAAATTTACGGCATGAATGTTACACAAATTTGTTACATTTTGGATTATTATGAAAGTGGTTTCGTTGCGTTTTGTGTGTCTAAAGTTTGTTGATTTACTTAACCCAACGTTCTAATTCAACAATCTACATTACGTTTTGAGAAAAATTAGGAGATTAAACTTAAAATTATCGTATTTGGAAAAATAATTTGGTTATGCGATGGAAGTGTCTCTCTTTACAATCTTGTATATTACTACGTGATTACTCATTTTAATGTATTTATTACGTGATTTTGTTTGTTCGATGCATTAATATATTTCACTCACATGTCTGGTTATGCCAAAAATATTAATGCCAAACTATTGAAAATGAATACATAATCAAGTGTTTTGAGACGGTAAGTTATACTAATTTTGGTTTTCAAAATAAATTCATAAAAAGCTCTTCCTACCGACAAGTCATGAACTCCAAAATAATTACATAAAAATCTCTCCCTACCGACATCAACTCTATAA